AGAGAGAGAGAGAGAGAGAGAGAGAGAGAGAGAGAGAGAGAGAGAGAGAGAGAGAGAGAGAGAGAGATCATCCTGAGGCGTATTTGCTCGAAGACAAACGAAAATGTTAGTCCTGTTAATAGCTGGGTGGAGCTGGCTTGCCAAAAGCGTTGATATGCTGGTATGAGCTACTGTGGGTGGGGCTGATCCCTATTTACTTTCTACTAGACGAGAAGGTGAGATGCCTCCTCTAATAGTCTGTAAAGTACCCAGGCATTTACTTAGCCCATATAGAATCTGGATATAGACCGAACGAATAACACACTGTAACACCGACAGTAATTTAAAAAAAACGTCTTTAACTTTCCACTCTTAGAATCTATCGGGAAGTGCCATTTCAGTGTATGTTTAAAGGGCTTTCTTGGCACACCCTACACGCGTGGAATGCTATGCTCCCACAGTTCATCTAGAACTCCTCGATAGAACCTTGTGTAGTCGAGCGAGCCCCTCGCCAGCTCAACAATCGCTCCAGGCACAGAAGTATCAGCCAACTATAAGCCCAGTCTTTGACATGGCCATGACGATGAGAGGAGCTCTGGAAGCGTAGGCGCTTGGCATCAGCCTCCGGTGTCAGTGTTGGTTTACGAATAAAACCTTAATGAGCACCCCGGTGAATAACGATGGAGACAAAAAGTGAGCATTCGTATAAACGAAGCCACGCAGACGAACAGGGTTGCCGTGTACAGTAGAGTATAGTACTCAAAGAGACGTATGCGGCGGTTATTCGTCTCGTACACACATCCATTCATTATTTCTGAAACGCGTGGAGGACCCGTGATGGCTGTTTTACGAGGCGAAAGAGAGCACATGCAACAAATGTACAGTAAACGGTGGAAAAGAAGCAGCGAAGGTATGGCGTAATACGCCGGCTACACCTCGTCCCTTCCCCCCCTTCTCATGCACTATAATTATAGCACCTTTCGTAACGTCTACCTCTCTTCTCGCGACCGCACGCGATCTCACGTACACGCATGCGCGCACGCACGCACAACTACACGCACAACCTCGCATACGACAACACATACACATACACATACTCATCATACACGCACAAAAACATGCGCACATAGTCACATACGCACGCACACGTACACTCACGTACACACGTACACTCACGTACACACGTACCCTTGCGCGCGTGTGCAACTCTCGCTCTCTCACACACACACATACGCACGCACGCACGCACGAACGCACGAACGCACGCACGCACGCACGCACGCAAGAAGAAAGAGACAGGAATTTCGACCTAACGCAGCGTGAATACTCCATGGTCAATCGCAAGTAATTGCGCCGCTAAGTAAGCCGCAAGCATAGCTGGCTGTTTCGGCACTACACCAGCAGGGGGTCATGACATCAAACATAAACATCAAAGTCTATAAGCGGAAACGCTGCCCTTCCTGCGTTTAAGGAAGGCGGTCGGGAAGGTTCCACAACTAGTCACCGAAAATAACCGGAGGTATTCAGGACTCCCTCGTTATCGTCTGTCTCTGTATTTGTTCTGGCGTAGGGAAGCCCTCACAGCTTGTATAGACCCGCGCTCTAGACGTTCCGTCACGAGCGGCTTCGTTCGCATCAAGTCGACGCGCAACAGTCTAACCGAATCGGATTTGTCACGTTCCGGCAGACGGACTCTGTGTATGTGTAATACGGAAAAGAAAGCAAACATCAAATGAAATGCGTTTGCAATCGATAGGATACTAGGCTAGAGTTACCGCCGTTTGTGGCTTTAGCGGTTATATCGGAACCGGCATAATCTCGCTCCCGGCTAAGCAAGAATGCGTCAAATGATGTGCGGACGGACCGGCGGGCGCGGGTTAGCCCCTTAACGACAGCTGTCGACATGTTTCATAACATCGGCTTACCTACCGAGCACGCGGACCATCATGTCATTACCCTGCGAGCGAAAGTTACGCTGATCATGCACCCGTCTCGTACGAGGAAGGTGAATTTGTTTACTATGTTTAAAGGCCAGTGACATTGACGAATAAAGACACTCGAAACGCGTCTTGCAATTACTCGATACAGTTTATTCAGCTCACAACACAACACAACACAACACAACACAACACAACACAACACAACACAACACAACACAACACAACACAACACAACACAACACAACACAACACACACACGCACGCACACACACATTCACTCTCGTTTTCTCGTCTTTATTTATCACGACGAACATTTAATGCCCGGCGCACACGTGAGTTATTTTACTCAAGTAAAATGACGCATGAGTCAAAAATTATCAAACACGTTTGATATTGAGTAAAATGCGCCGCAAACGTGAGTAAAATGACTCATGCGTCATTTTACTTGAGTAAAATAACTCTCGTGTGCGCCGGGCATTAAACGAATAGGCAGCTGCAACTGCTGTAGCAATGTTACACGGCAAGCTGCGATCAAAAATACTATGTACGCTTGATGTATTTCCATAATAATGCTGCCCAAATATTAGCCCGACCAGGCTCTGCGACTGTTTCACGTCGCCACGCAGTGAGAAGCGAGAAGGTAACTTGTGGCTACCCAAATATGTCTCCGTTATAAGGCCGTAAAATATTAAAATAACCTGTAAAACACATAAGCGATAAAATACTACACGAGAAGTTATTGCAAGCATCATACGAAAATAAAACATAAAAAATTTATGTTCCTGCCAGGGCTCGAACCTGAGACCTTTCGCGTGTAAAGCGAACGTGATAACCACTACACTACAGGAACAGTCCGTCAGAAAACCGTAGCGTAGGCATACGTGGAGCTGCTGCAATGAACGCTAAGCAGTACATGCATCACGTAGTCAGCGTGTTGTCACAGATAAGTAAGCAATGGTATCAGAAGATATACGTGGTCGAATCACCTGAGCCCTCACTGGCAAAAGTTTTTATGTGCAATCTTCTTCGCATCCTTAGGGGATTATGTCTTATATCCTAGTTCTTCTATATGTAAGTTTAGCTTCTATGACTCAGGCAGGATCGACATTCGATCGCGAGAGCGATGATAAGAAATTAGATTGCATCCCACGCCTATCGGAAATGACGATCCGGTAATAAGATAAAATCAAGAGCTAATAATAAGGTAGTATACTTAGCTCTTGATGAAGTAAATAACGAAATTCGGGTCAAGCATCATGTACCACACCGGTTTTATGGCAAAGCTAGGTTAGGATTAAGGTTAGGTTCGGACTGGGGTTAGGTTCTATAGTTTAGGTTTATGTTTTAGATTTAGGTTAGGATTAGGTTAGGGATTTTATGGTAATTATATAGAGTTAGGGTTGACTGATATTAATATCATTATGTATAAATAGGTATTATATATATATATATATTATATATATAATTTTATTATATATATACTTATTCAGCACCATAACACTATCTTATGCATCTATTACTGTAGCATATATCTATCAATCTATCTATTCTATCTATCTATCTATCTATCATATCTTTATCTATCTATCTATCTATCTAATCTACTATTCTTTAATCTTCTATCTATCTATCTATCTCATCTATCTATCTATACTATCTATCTATCTATCGTATCTATCTATCTATCATATCTATCTTATCTATCTTTTCTATCTATCTATCATATCTATCTATCTATCTGCTCTATCTATCTTATCTATATATATATATATATAAATATATATATATATACTGTATTCTAGCTATATAGCTAGACATAGCTTAGCTAGCTAAACTATCTATCTATCTATTCTATCTATACTATCTATCTATCTATCTATCTATTCTATCTATCTTATTTTATCTATAATATATTTATATATATATATATATAATAAATATATATATAAAACTATTTAGAACGCTACCAAACTGAGGACGATGATGCACGTGAACGATTGGCGAACATCAGTGCCCTTGAGCCTTGCTGCCAGACATGACGACCGATGGTCTGCTCGATATACCTCTCGATTGTTTATAATTTTAGTCCGTGCAATATCAAAACAACTTCTCCTGTAATATATGCGCTCCTTTGTTGAAGAATCCGCCGATGCCCGTCACACGTCCGATGTATCAAAGCAGCTGCTTAGCGACTTGTGCGTTCGTCATCACTCCACCCTCTCTCACTACATGCTAAAATCTATCGGAAGATGATGCACGCACGCTCTAACTCACTCACTCCTCTCATCTCTCTTCTCTCTTCCGCCGTTTCCGCCACAGATGCAGTTCTTTCGTTTCGCTTATCATGGTGGAATCGCCGTAGCAACTTTATTACAAAGTAATGCACGATACGCGGATAACGGACACGGCTCAGGGCGAGCGCGGCCGCGTACCACTACGGCGCAGCTGTCAGGGCAGACCGTCGAATGAGCTGCGAGCGACGTCTTGCCATATGTTGAGTGTGCTTCCTCGCCGGAATGCCGGAGCCTATTCGGTCTGCGTTGCCTGCCAATAGTCTGCGTCGCCACCCTCTTATCTCGCAGACGCATCGCCTCAGGCGCGAGGCGTCTGTCCCCTCCCTTAGTGATCGCCTGAACCGTATGGAGCTGGCTCGTTACCAAGGCTTCATTGTAGCGGGGCTGACCTGTCGTAGGAGCTGGCTCGTTACCAAGGCTTCATTGTAGCGGGGCTGACCTGTCGTAGGAGCTGGCTCGTTACCAGGGCTTCATGCGGCGGGCCTGCCGTAGAAACTGCCCTGTCGTGGGGATTTCCTGTTGTGTGTGTGGGGGGGGGGCCTACCGTGAGGATGGACCTGCCGTGAAGGCGGCCGCGGGTCATATTGGTTCCTTGAGAATTGTCGCGTATTAGCGGCTACATGAGTCGTGCCGCCTTAATGTTTACCCGCCACACTAGTGGATATCCGTTACAGGATATATTATAGGGTCATAGGTGGGTATTCGGAGAATTCCCGCTTGCTCATGGTGTGAGCGAGGCGATACTGATGGAGCGGACATGCCCGTGAGGTCCGGGTTCGATGTGTGGTCTCGATTATTGAAGATTAAATTAATATGAACCGTGCATCCTAGTGTAAAACTGCAGGAAGACGGAGCGTCCTTCCTCTTAGTATTAAATTTCCTCTCCGTCTTCCTGCAGTTTTACACTAGGATGCACGGTTCATATTAATTTAATCTTCAATAATCGACTGGGGGTACAGCACAGCACAGTGCCTGTTATTAACGTGTGAATCCAGAAAATTCGCCTTATACTATATACTTACATATGTGTCTGTGTGTTTCTGTGCGCGCGTGCGTGTGTGCGTGCGCGCGTGCGTGTGTGCGTGCGCGCGCGCGTGTGTATGTGTCGCATAGTATGTTGTATGAGTAATATGGTGAGAGCAGGAACTGGACAGAGCGTGCATGTCCGAGATGAACTGCTATCATAACAGTAGTCACCGCGACCCGATCACTAGGAGACAACTGTCGCCATCTACATGTGAAACAGCGCACGAACGGCAGCAAATGAGCGCGATGGTAAGGACGTGTGATTATTTTCGGCGGGTACAAACAGGATGCGAAACGTGGAGAGAGAAAGAGAGAGAAAGAGAGAACGAGAGAGGCAGCAAGTGATAGGCATTGCTTCGCTACACTCGTCTGCATTACGGCGCTTACTGTAGCGTCTGAAAATGTCGACCTGGCTCGGTGACCAGCTTGCGATGCGCAGCCAAGCGGTTCCCGATTCAAATCGGTCATTGCGCCCACAGGAGGAACTGGTTATGCACGCCGTTTCGCCGCCAGATGACGCGTGGGCTAAGAGGAGCGCATGAATAAACCACGTACCGAGGAAAAGACGACGGTTTACACATGCGACGTCGCACGACTGACAGGAGAGGAGGTGTGTGTACGTATTTCCAGGTGTTAGTCGGTCTCTGCACGTGACAATGCAGTCCACCAGGCTGCTATATTTGTTGTGTATGAAATAGCCGAGATTTCGTAACACAGACTGTGATAATACAATAGAGATATGCATGGGAATACCTATCGTCTGTTCCGTAAGTTCTACGCTAAATTGTTTTGTATGCATCGCGCTAATATTATAAGCAGGGTCTTAGATTTTTGTCGTGATAACTGCATTTTATTCATTGTGGTTAATCTCAATATTTGTTACCTAATAAACAGATATGCTATACTGTCACGGAGGAAATGATGTGCTAAGCTGTACTATCGCGAGGTCGGCTTATTAGAGCACGCTATCATTGTGGTTGCCCCGCTGGCGCGTGTTTGATTAACCTCTGTCTCTTCTTCCGTCATATCGTGCCTGGTAGATGGCAGCACTGACTAAATAGTTGCTCTCGTGTATGTATGTATGTATATTATATATATATATATATATAT